TGAAAACTAACTTTTAGACTGTAAGTGTAGATGATGTTTTGTTAAGTATGTTACATAGTTTGTGCTCATAAATAGGTACTCTCTGAAAACAAAAACAATCTAACTCCTCTTTCTAAATAGTACTAAGGCCCCAATCCTGCAAACCTGTGGGCAGGTGCTTAACTTCACTCATGTGAGTAAGCCCGCTGAAGTCACATGTCTATGTAACTGTGCGTGTTCTCATTATCCATATAAATGTCTAATCCAGGAGTCAGCAACCTTTCAGAAGTGATGTGCCGAGTCTTCATTTATTCACTCTAATTTAAGGTCTCGCGTGCCAGTAATACACTTTAACCTTTTTAGAAGGTCTCTTTCTATAAGTCTATAATATATAACTCAACTGTTGTTGTATGTAAATTAAATAAGGTTTCAAAATGTTTAAGAAGCTTCATTTAAAATTAAAATAAAATGCAGAGCCCCCTGGACCGGTGGCCAGGACCCAGGCAGTGTGAGTGCCACTCAAAATCAGCTCGTGTGCTGCCTTCGGCACATGTGACATAGGTTGTCTACCCCTGGTCTAATCCTTTGTGTCCTGGTAGGCTTTTGGACTCAGTGCTAACTTCTGGGAGTGAGAATCACAAGTTAATTGTATTGTGTGGTGGTTTTCTTTTTAAATTAAATTTATTTACATTTGGTCAACTTAATTGGCTGTCACCTCACTCATGTATTATATGAGGAAAAATAGGAGACTCCAACTTAAGTTGTCCTATCCCATTCATTATATTGTAAACCTGTAATTTTTGATACTTCTATGATTTAAAAAAATTAACAGACTTTTTCAAATAGCTTGAAGAATATTAGTTTGGAGATTCCAGGCCAGAGCCCTCACTTGCCTCTGCACACCATCACTGCTTGATGACATTGTATTATCCCTGGGAGAGGGGCCCATAAGAAACACTGTTGTCTATGGAGGTGTCTGGGATGCCTGTTGAGTTACGGTTGTCATCCTCTTGCTGCTGGAGAGCAGTTAGGATGGCTCTTTAATAATTCATTGTCATTTAATATATTGCTTTTGCTTGTTAACAGAAGAGGCTGTACTTTAGATCTTTAAAACGAAGTCTATGGAAAATGAGGTAACTGTTTTTTATAGGCCCCTCTCCACACTTTGGTGAGGTGCAATCATGGCAGAACATAGTATATAAAGGCAGATAAATTTTGCCTTTGTGTAGCCCCACATGGACTTCCATCGCATCACATAAACACATAAGCAGGAAAACATTTCTGCTATTCTACTCCAAAGGTTGTGGTTTGAATGTTGAGGTATACAAAACAAGCTAATTTTTGTGAAGAAACCCCATATCATGCCTTTCTCTATTCTCTCTGAGGCCTGGTCTACACTGGGGGGGAATCGATCTAAGTTACGCAACTTCAGCTATGTGAATATTGTAGCTGAAGTCAATGTACTTAGATCTACTTACCGCGGTGTCTTCACTGTGGTAAGTCTATGGCTGACGCTCCCCCGTCGACTCTGCCTGCGCCTCTCACTCCGGTGGAGTACCAGAGTCGACAGGAGAGCGCTCAGTGGTTGATTTATCACGTCTAGACTAGACGTGATAAATCGACCCCTGCTGGATCGATTGCTGCCCGTGGATCCAGCCAGTAATGTAGACAAGCCATTAGTCCTTATTCTCTTGCTTTTCATAATCACATAGTCACCTCAAAAGGAGTAGTAAAAAACAACAAATGGCCACTTCGGGACTTCATTTTACTAAACAGTGAAGAATACTTAGACATCAAGAAAAGAACTCAAAAACCATGTCTTTTTGCTACTGTGTTCCCATTAGGGGGCAATGTATTCTTTTGTTACTCTAAATCTAGAAGAAAACACATTATGTTTGTGCTCCATTGACATGGGAGAATTATTTTTATATTTTAAAATAGCATCGTAGAAAATTTTTCATTTAAAAAAATATCCAGCATAAGCATTGCTCATTTTTGCCTATCTTAGACTGAATATCCTACATCGTATTTATATAGAACAGAAGTAGGTAGTAAGATTAATGTCTCCTAGATCCATCACAAACAAACTAAGATTTTGTGTTTCATAAAGCTTTTGGTAACAAAAATTTTTCTGTTCAAATTAATACTACAATACAACACGTACTAATTTCACAAACATATAGCCAGAACATACAAATAATAAACCCTCTAGTGCTAGATTTTGATGCTTGACCAATTCATTTTATGTTAAATGTAAGCTTCGAAAATAGTCAATATGGGAACAAAGAGTTAATTACTCTGAGCACATTTGTGCCTCGTTGCTCCTTTCTGTTTGAAGCAAGGAGCAGTTTAGTGTAAATTATCATGTTTTCTATTTTTTTTCCTTGGAGAAGGGAGGAAACCAATAGTTTTGTGGAGTTCATTTAAATAAAAAGAAATTAGTATAATTTTCTGAAAGATCAGTATATTCTCAGGGTGTTGAGACATCTGTCAACAAAACATTTTGTTATAATTTCTTGCTAGGAGAAATGAGGATTTATTTTATCCTCATTGACTGATTTTATTCAGAAAGCAGGTGACAGCAATCAGTTCCAGTGTCATCTACATCTTCAATTATTTTACAAACCCCGGGAACTAATTACAGCCCTCAGGCTCCGGCAGAGTCAGCTGACTGTAGCATAAGACTTTTTTGGCCACCAAATACCTCTGAGTAATTGTCTATTTGTGGAAAATAAATTAATAGCTACTATTTTTATTTAAATATGGAGACCTGTAGATATGTGTGCAGGTGGAATGAGTACGTGATGGGGGTTGCAGAAAGAGAAGGAAAGGAGAGACATTAAACATGAAGCAAGAGAAAGAAGTAAAAGATTTGAGGAGAAAATGGGAGAGAGGATTGAGCAAAAAGGAAAAATTGAAGGGAAGTAGAGGAAGAGAGAGTGAAAATAAGAAGGAACCATTATTTAACTTTACAGAAAAATTAGAGGGGGGCAGACACTGAAACAGACACAGCAGAAGACACCAATATAGTGTAAGTTGAAAGAAAATATGTGGTGAAGAAAGGGAAAAGGAAAAACTGAGCCAAATTATGGGAAACCTAGAAGGTTCATTTTTTAAAAATAGGACTTTCATATCAAAACATTACAGTAGAATAGCATATACATTTTCACTAGGGATGTAACTGTACAATAAACATACAAGGAGTAATTGAAAGCGCTTCCCGGGGTCTCAAAACCTGCAAAATGTAAAAAATTAGGGACCACTCTGAAGATGGTGCCTGCACTGATTGTGACTGCCAGCCTAAGTTACATAACAAAGAGGAAATCTGAAAAAAGAGCAGATGTATGTAGTCCAAGTGAATAGTTATCCGTAATTCATGAATATATTAGTTTGTTTCTATGGACCAATTGTACAATTCGCATCTATGTGGCAATAATCACATTTAATATATGATTCTGTAATAACTTACGTTAATAGTATAATCGCACCTTTTATTCAAAAGGATTTAAAAAGTATTTTGAAAATAATCATATATATATCCAGGGCCCTTGACATACAGCCACATGTGGGTTGGAGGGTGATGACAAACTGCACAACGCATTGCAGAAAGGATATGTGGGCAAAATAGTGTTCTTAAGAAAAATACCATGCTATCTGTAATGTCAATGCAGAGTAGGCAGAAACTTTGTTTTTAAAGTCTTATCCAAAAGATGACTGCATAATAAACTTGTGGCACTAAAAGTTTCTACCCCCAAAAGATGAAGGGCTGGAATCTGAACCTTTGATTCCAGCAACTTTAGGAATTTTAAATCTTAGACATATGGAACACAAGAAGAGTACTTCAGATACGAGACAAACAAGTGAGAGCACGGTGTCACTGTTTTGAATTGGGGCTATATCTATGCAACTCGTAAATTCTGATTGATATTGTGAAGTTGTATTATAAAAATCTTGTGTGTCACGAGTAACCGCCAGCAACAACGCACAATAAGGGTAACATTACTGCAACCCCCCCTACAATATCCTTGAGAACCCCCCCCCATTCCATGACACCCTTTAGAGTTGGGACCCGCACAGTTACAACACCGTGGGACCCGCACAGTTACAACACTGTGAAATTTCAGATTTAAATATCTGAAACCCCCGTGACATTTACGATTTTTAAAATCCTATGACGGTGAAATTGACCAAAATGAACCGTGAATTCGGTAGGGCCCTAATTATACCCCATGAATAGTTAGTTCTGTTGATAAATATAAGGGCAGAGCAGTGAGCGCTCTGGCTGTGGGCTCCTACTGTACGCCAGGCTCCAGCTGCTGGTCCTGGCCAGGCTGGTGAGGGATGGGACTTCCTCTTCCCCTGCAGAAGCCGCTCCTGGGGCTGGGTAAGACCCACCTCCAGGAACCTCCCCCGACAGCAGGAAGCTTTGCGGCCGCTAGCTGGGAGCCCAGCTCTGAAGGCAGCATCACTGCCAGCAGCGGTGCAGAAATAAGGGTGTCGTGGTATTGCCACCTTTACTTCTGTGCTGCTGCTGGCTGCGGCACTGCCTTCAGAGCTGGGCGGCCAACCAGCATATGCCACTCTCCAGCCATCCAGCTCTGAAGGCAGCACAAAAGTAAAGGTGGCAATACCATGACTCCCTACAATAACCTTGCGACCCCCTCCCCCACAACCTTGTTTTGGATTGGGACCCCCAGTTTGAGAAATGCTGGTCTCCCCTATTAAATCTGTATAGTATAGGATAAAAGTACACAAAAGACCAGATTTCACAAGGGAGACCAGGTGACGCGTTTTTCACAGTCATAAATTTGGTATGGCCCTAGGTATAATCCCTGGGTTTCGAAGCATAGGGGAAGTTATGAGAGAGAGGATCTTGTAGACCTGTCATTAGAGCATCATTTATAACATTCTAAAAGATATCAGGTTTTGTAGAAGGCTTAGGAAATAAATGGTGGTAAACTGATATAAAATAGTTTAGATATATTTAACAAAATTATCTTTTTTCCCCCCCACCAATTCAGATCAGCTGTTCCATGTTTTGGCCATGCACATGCGGCTTTACAGCATTGACTCTGCGTATAACCCATGGAGAAAACTAACACAGCTAATGCAGGATAGGAATTCACAGTAAGTATTTTAAAATACCCAACATCAGTATAGTTCTGTGGACAAAATGAGTTTCAACTTTCTGAAGCTAAAAATCTTTACTTGTCAACAATCTGAATTGCCAAGCATGTAAGATACAAAACTTAATGTCTAACACACAGTGTATTTCTTTGCGGAGAAGAATTTTCAAATCTGTTTTATACAAAATATTAGAGATTCATATTTGTGATTTAAAGTAATACTGTTAAGCCAAGTAGGCCCAACATTAAGGATGGTAGGAAATTGGGCTTGTAATTTTCTGTACATTTTGATCTTTTAACTTATATAGCCAGGGACAATGGAAGCAACTCTTTTTGTCACACTTTGTTAAGATTCCATTTACAAATGATTTATAAAGAGTTATAATAATAATAATTAATAAATGGAGATATCCTATCTCCTAGAACTGGAAGGGACCTTGAAAGGTCATCAAGTCCAGCCCCCTGCCTTCACTAGCAGGACCAAGTACTGATTTTTGCCCCAGATCCCCAAGTGGCCCCCTCAAGGATTGAACTCACAACCCTGGGTTTAGCAGGCCAATGCTCAAACCACTGAGCTATCCCTCCCTCACATTAAATGATTAATAGATGTTATAAGAATGTTACTGACATAAATAGTATATGTCAAAATGGTTATAGGCTAGAATGTGTCATAGTTTATTATAAGCAGTTTATTGATCTGTTGGACTTTATAACAATTGATTAACCATATATTAAAACATCTATAAATCACTTATTAGCCCTTTTGAAACTATTTCTAAATGGAATTTTGATATAAAATGTGATCCCTTTTTCTTTGAGGTACTTTATCCTAATTTCTCTTTTATTCTTTCATACTTCCTTCCTTCACATTGGTCTTGTGGTTATCCTCATGAGAGTGCCTGAATCCAATAGTAAAAGTTGTCTGAATATTTATTTAAAAGAAAAATATATAATTAAATTAATGGAAAATCCCCAGATACCTAGCAATAAACACCATGCATTGTGGGACAGTATGGGGGAAAGCATGGAGGTTGTGTGTGTGCGAAGATGACAAATAACCAAATGGTGGAGGAGGTGGAGAGGAAATCATTCAGTTAGAGACAAGCAGGAAGGGGAAAGAGTCACAAATGATCCTGGTCTGAATTAACGAGAGTTTGTTGTTCTTTTGGGCACACTGCAAGACCTACTTTTTCTCCCTGGCTTTTGGGAGGGTAGAGGTGTGAAAAACTGAGCAATAGGGAGATCTGTGAGAAGACCAAGAAAAAAATCTATGCTAAAATATTGTTCTTTATTAGAACAATTAAGGCAATCTGTTCAATTATGTGTATTATATTCAAGGACATCCGGAGCTTTGAATTGATGCTCTTTTTTGTGTGGCAGTAAAATCTGGATATCTCCTCTTTGTGGAGACTCATCTTTCTGCTTTTCCTCAATCTCTCTGCCTTGTCGCCTCTTTTTAATGAGAGGGGATATGAAAGGTCTGCTACCACCACTACTGAGAGTGGTGGGAAAGGCTAGGTTCTCCCTCCTTTGAAACCACATTGTTTCTTGATCCCCTCTAAGGGAGCAGCTAGTATTACCAGAATGATGCTGAGTCCCTCCATCTCTGCACACCGAGCACTGTCCTCATAGATGAGCTGCTCCCCTGTGGCCATATTGGATATGTCTACACAGCTTGCAGCATGAGCCTTGAAGCCCAGGTCGACAGTCTTGGGTTTACGGAGCCTGTGCTAGTGCACTAAAAATAGCTGTGTAGATGTTGCTGCTTGGGCTCTGAAGCCTAGTGAAGGGGTTGGGCTTCAAAGCCCGAGCTGCAACATAAAAGTGCTGTTTACACGGCTATTTTTAATGTGGTAGCATGAGCCTAAGTCTTTCAACCTGGGCTTGGAGGCATGCTGCCACTGGCTCTGTCAGCATGCCCATTGACAGTTCTGCAGTCTGAGTGCTTCTCCCCTCTCCCTATTGCTAAAGATTGGTCTAAGAGCTTCCAGTAAATTGAGGACTGGTGGATGAATGGCTACTGGGCCTTCAAAACTGATCTTGGATGACTGTGGCAGGGGCTGTTAGAATTTATGATATTTAGGAAAAATCACTGTAATGACCAGGCCTGCTTCTAGTTAAGTATTTGCTGCCTTTTCGCTTGGATGTGGACCTGGTTACAGTAAAACACACCTGGGTGTGATATCAGGATTGGATTAGTGCAACGTGCTCTGCATGAAGAACACTTGAAAGTTACCTTTCTAAAGTTTTCTCCATATATTATGATTTCCATACTGATCTCTACAAGCCGTCATTGGTCAGCCAGGGATAGCCTATTTCCCCGTGAAAGGCATTTTGGGTACTGCTTGTGCATAATTTCATAATATTAAAGTTTAACAATGGGAATCACAAACGAAGGATTACCTATGTCTGTGGAGGGTATTAGGGGAGAAGAGGGAGATTTGGCTGTGAGTGGCTACTGAGATTTTTTTTTTTTTCTATTTGAGCTTTTGAATCAGTTGAAAGATTTCATATCTATGTGATGTAGCAAACAAGTCCCATGGAACCTGTACAGGTTTACACAGAGTCTGTTTATGGAACTTAGAGCCCTTAGTGATTATGGAGCTATGGGCCACACTAGATACTGTGCTCAAAAACCTCTGAGATAAGTAGTTACAGATGCAGCTGGTGGTATAATAGGTTTCTTACTTCTGAAACTGATGTTTCTTGGTTTTCTAAATATTTACTGTAATTAGTGCTGACAGGTTCAGGTTTTCCAAGTGTTCTTGTACCCATTCTTTATCTATAAAAGCCATAGAAGAGGAACTCTGCCTTGATTACTCCATTATACTACATGTGTAGAATTCCAGGTATTGGTTTTAACCTATAAAGCCCTAAGTGGTTCAGGACCTGTTTATCCGAGGAAGAGCCTTTCTCATCATGCCATATTACCACAGTTCAGATCAGCAGAGGAACTCAAGCTGGAGCTCCCTCAGTAGAAATGAGAGGGAGCTGCTGGCTGGGCATTCTGTTAAGGTTCCTCAGTTTTGCGCTGTTACCTGCCTTAGTCCTTCGGAGCTCAGATTGGTAACCTATTGAGCACACTGCAAAGCCCATCTTTTTTCTTCTCTACAGCTGTTGAGGAAAGGGTGGCAAAGGAGGATATAGTTGCAGCCAGTCTTTTTGCATTATTTTGTGATTTTAATTTGTAGAGTAAGCACCAGAGCACAGTTTGAGCTCCTGTAATTACACTTTTGGAATTTGAAGAAATAAATAAAATCTTGGAGTGAACTATGACATATTGAGCATGTGTGATTTGAAGCTGCTTCAAAATTCACAGGATCTTTTTAAAGTGCATCTTTTTCAGATACAGTTGTAAGAACTCAGCATAATGAGAAGCTGATTTACTACAACTCTTGCCAATAACCTGCAGAAGGTTAGAAGGTTGTTGGAGAAATATCAGTGCAGGCTTAGGAAATGGATTGTACTCTGTCATTTTGAGTCTAACTAAGCATTTTAGTAATTTAAATCATCATCTTTCCCAGGTCAGGACTCTCCCAGTAGGAGAATATCTGTCAATAAAAGAAAAAGATCCAAATAGCTTCACTTGCTTATTCTGATTGCAAACAGCATAATGACAAAGTCCCAACAGCTAAACAACTTTTGACTGAACATCACTAACGTGTTCACTTGTGCTACCTCTAATCTTCAGACAAAAACCAACACTAGCAAAACCAGTTCTGTGTCAGAAGAGTACTGTTCATCCAGGTTCTTTGTTTTGTAAAAAAACAAAACTTCCTAGTAACATTCTGGATTTGTTCTATCTCATTTTTAGTTTAAATTAACATTTTAATTGAAAACAGTTTTCGTAAGGAGATTAGTTGCATAACTATATCCTTTTATAACAGGTTTTTTCATTTTTAGCTTTGTAAATAATCTACAAAACACAAGCAACATTGCATTGTATTTTTGCAGCTCTTATATAATGTTAATAACTTTCTCTATATAAATACAAATTTAGACTTAAAATCTCCTGACTCTAGATCTCACACTTTAAGCTTGGTTTTCCTCTACACAACTGACACTAATTTGTATATCAGGCTGGAGATTTTATGCCAAATGTATAGGAAAATTAAATCAAAATAATACTTCTACTTAAAAAAAAAAAAAAAAGTACAGTTTGCTAACAGCCCCAGTCTATGCCAAGATCTGCCTCCATAATTGGTGAGGGATCTGGGTACCTGAGAGATTGCTTCCATTCTTGGGTGATGCCTCATTGAGTGCTTGAATGAAAAGTCAAAGTATGGCTCACAGAGCCCCCCACATTCTCCACCTACTAGATGAGGGGGGGAGGGAAGGGAGCTTGGGGCTTCTGCCTTGCAGCAGGGCGGTGAGGTAGGGGCTTCTGCCCAGCAGGGTGGAGGGGATCGGGGCTTCAGTTCCACCTGCCAGGGGCATATCTGCCAGGGCTTGGGGCTTCAGCAGGAGCAGGGCTGAAGTCCCCGAGCCCCAGCAGGCGCACCCTGATTCTCGAACTTCTGAAGATAGTCGTATGCGGCTCAGAGGGTCAGTAAGTTTGGCCACCCCTGATATATAAGCACTCAGGATGGAACTGTCCATAAAAAGTTGTGAAGTTCCCCTATACGCTAGGTGCACCCAGGCACAGTTCTCTTAACAACTGCAAGTTAAAGTGCTCTTTGCCTGGATGGGCAGTCAAACCTTTTCTGCTCGTTTCTTGTGTGTTGCAGAGAAGCTGCACAAAAGGAAGATTATGGTCAAGCCACCTTTTGACACCATATGGTGCTAAATGAGCAGCTTTGCATTTACCAGGAGTAAAGCTCAGGGGCTGAGGGAGGAAGAGGGAATGTTTTAAGCAGACAGTCCATGAGAGACAGAGACCAAAAGACAGTGACAGTGGTACATTAGTTGAGGTTTCTGCAAGCGGCAGTTGCCTATGTACAGTCTGTGACCCCACCTCTGTTCAGGGAAACAAGAGTTATGAACATTTTTTAAATAAATCGTATTAGAAAATACATTGACACTGCATCACCAATTTCTCATCAAATGAAAAACTGACCTGCTGCAAAAGCCCACAAACATTAGCAGCAAAAGGGCAACAACATAAAGCTATATTATGTCCTATGTGGTGCCCAATACAAAGAGTAGAATTTAGAAGTGGTGTAGGCTTGTCCTTGTTGATGAAGCTTCTGTACTTGGCCACTCTTCTTCCCTTCCGTCAGATTGCCCCTGACAATGCAAACAGAGCCTTGGTTCAGCCTTCACACCTTATTTATTGAAAACCCTAATGTTTATAGCTTGTGTGTCATTCTCTTCTCTCCCTTGGGGACCAATATTTCTAGGGCTTTGTTCCCTGATGAGATCACCCATAGACTGGCTTTGTTTCCCCTTTCCTTCATCATCACAGAACAGGCCAAATGGAGTAAACCAGAGATTAAGAGGTGCTTTGCACTCGAGGAGACTCTCTCAGGAGCTACAGAAGGGTAAAGTGGAGCATTTCCACAATTGCTCCCGGTCCCAGCCCATGGACTTTTGTTCTGCCAGAGAAATGTAGCCCAGTTGTCTTGGACTAGAGGGAGAAGTCAGTCCCAGAAAGGAAATCCAGTAACAAATTTTCCATTTATGGACATATCAGAAGGTGCCTCGTTGTACTGTATCGTATAGATTCTTTTCAAAATGGATGCATGGATTCATTTTACAGTACCTTGCTTCAGCACCATGAGAAGTTATATTAACTAGCTTTTCATTAGCTGCTACTGTGGTACAATCTGTTGGAAAGTCAGACTTATCAGGCTTTCTCATATGCATAGAGGATTAGCAGGATGGATAAGTTCCATACTCTAAACAGAGTTTATAAATGCAGTTTCAGTGTCATAATGAAGAAGTTGCTTAGGCTGTTAACGAATGACAGAGCGCTTTTTAAGTGCTTAATGTGCTGCAGTTATTGACGTAGACTGAAGCAGCTTATCGAAAACCTTGACATTTCATATAGCTTTACTTCTCCAATTCATATGGAATGAATAAATTAGGCAAGCATTTCACTTGTTCTTGCATTTAAAAAGTGAGTCTTCCATACTTTTTTTGTGATGTTGCCAGTCATCACTGCATACTATATAAATTGGAATCTTATCTAATTTATCATGTCAAAATTGGCATTTGACCTAATTGTCTGTTGCTGTGAAATGGCTTTAACTCTGATACCTTCTGAAGGAAAGAACTTTTCAAATATGAACATGACCAACTCGAGTTAAGAGTTCTTTTTCTTTCTTTCTCTCTTTTTTTAATGAATTTAAAATTCTGGAAAAAAAATTAAGGTGAGAAATGTATTAAAATGACTTGTTTATAATTTAGGGCACCAGCCTAATGAAACTTTTATAAATCTATCTCACAAAAAGCAAAATAAAACTAATCATGGGTAAAATTTTCAACAGTGCCTAAGTGATTTAGGAGCCTACATCCCTATGTTTCAATGAGATTTAAGCTCCTAATTGCCTGTGTCATTTCTGAAAATGGGACTAGGTCAGGGTTTCTCAAACAGGGGTCGCCGCTTGTGTAGGGAAAGCCTCTGGCGGGCCAGGACGGTTTGTTTACCTGCCCCCTCTGCAGGTCCGGCCGACCGCGGCTCACCCTGTCCCGTGCCCCAACTCCCTGCCCCCTCCCACACCCAAACTCTGCTGCTGGTGGTGGGGGGTGGGGAGAAGAGGCGCTGAGCCAGATAGGAAGTCTGCTGGCTCCACCAACCCTCCCCCCCGTCCCCCAGCAGCAGCGGGGGTCCTGGGCCATGCGCCGCCTTCCGCCTCCCCCTCTACCACCAGCAGAGGTCCTGGGCTGCTGCCAGCCTACCCCCCAGCACCCGCAGCACCCCCAGGCAGCAGGCCCCCCCCCCCAAGTTTTAGTCACAGGTATTTTTAGTTTACTGCCCGTGACCTGTCCATGACTTTTACTAAAAATACCTGTGACTAAAACGTAGCCTTACTTATAAGTAGATAACTGATAAAATTGTATTGTTGAATGAAACTGATTAATCAAACAGGAAATCTGTAGTATCTTTTTCTGTGGTTGCTCTCTCTATCTAGCCATATGAATTTTTTCATAAAACTTATGGTTCATAATAAAATGTTGCAGGATTGAGACCCTAAAAATCGGGCAGAAATCTAGCTGACTTTTTTCCTTTACCCTAACATTTGTAGGCTTGGCAGAATTCAATTTTTATTTTTATTATAATTCTGATGGATATGTGTATTTGTTAAACATTTATGTTTATTTCTTAATGTTTATTTTAAGTATGTTTTATTTTTATCAATTTAAGTATTTATAGCTGTGCAAAATTTTGGATTTAAGCATTTCTTTAATCAATTTAAATTTTCACAGTTGCAGGAAATTATGGCAGGAGTCAGACAATATGGGAATCAGACAATAGTTATTCATTGACAGTAGACATTGAGATTCAAAATGTTAAAGCTGTATAACCATTACAACACAAATTGTCAATATCCCATGTCAAAGTATATAAAGTAAATATCCTTACATCAAACTCTAATAAGTTCTCAAGCAGCATTTTTCTTACTTTGCCTATCTGTAAATTTTGATTATTGTTGATGTAAATATTTTTGTTGGTTTTTGTGTGTGTATAGTGAAATCAACATTTACCGATAAAAATCTAAGCCTTCCAAGCCTAAACATATGGCAGTACAGTTCTTATTCCATCTCATGAAGGAAAGGAAAGTCTTAAATAGGATCTCAGTGTTTTTCGGTGGAATTCATCCTGTGGGACAGAATGTTAATCTTGAATACTGTAATGATGTGTGTGTGTGCGTGCATGTGTGTGTGAATCTATATGTATATGTGCTAAACCTTTTGAGGAGGAACACCCTAAATTGCCTGCCAGAATTTTAAGGTTTTTTATAAATTGTTTTTGTGAATGACTGGGAGTTTGTGGATCATGAGCATTTAGGGAGACACATTGAATGTCGCAGGTGCGTTGTATCTTTAGGTCTTGAGAAACGTTTTTTACAGACAGTTTTAAAAGCTTAAAACTACTAGTAACAATAGTCAGATGCTCAAATTGTGATTTGTCATAAATACCATAGACTAAAATGTGATCTTAAAACTATAGTTTCATTAGTATTATCAGATATTAGAATTCCAAATGCTTGCGATCATGTAATATTGCAATGACAAACATTTAAAATTAAAATGCAAAGTACAATGTAAAAATGAAAGATGGATTATAGTGTCAAAAGTGATTATTTTAATAATTTTTCAGGATGAGCAGTGAAGAATTACCAGAGGTTCCAGTACTTTACAGAGATGTCTCATCCCTTTTGCTCATCCAGATTTTAACCATGCCACAACCATTGTGCAAAGGTATGCTACAAAAATGCATATATTTAAATGATTGTAAACATAACTGTGTGCATTCGTGGTCGTTTTAAAAACACAGCAAGTCAGAGCTTGTCTGCTGTGTTTTCTGAAATAGTGACTCTGCCTTATCTACAGAAGGTGGCATTAAACAGAAATTTTTGTTGTGGTTTGACAGGCTTATCTGTGTCCCCTGTCTTCTCTCACCTTATCAGTCAACCAGTACAACAAAGACCCAAAGCCTGAGAAAAACTATTAAGTTCTTTTACTGGGGAAAAAAAAGTGTCCTTTGTGTGACCTTCATCTCTTTTCTCTAGAGGGGCAGCTCAATATTTCAAGTTGAACTGAGTGCCTAAGGGTGAAAGATAGTAATTTATTTTGAGTTTGAGTTCAAATTGCAGCAATCATGTTTAATAGGAGGTCACATACAAAGATGTTAATTGCAGTAACGCAGCAGCTATAATGGAGTCAGCATATAGTATAACTTGGTATAAATTCTAAATAGACACTCATGAACTGAAGTCTTAATTACCAAAATTCAAGATATTTGAAATATATCTATATTTGTAAAAAGGACAGTTGACCATGGCGTATTTTGTGAGTAGTCAATGTACGGCCCTAAACAAGACGACTTAGCTTTTGATTTCACAATTCTTTATTTTTACTTAGGATACAATCTGCGGAGGTACTTAGGTGCCTAACTCCCACTTCTAGGCACCGCTGCAATCCACAGTACTTCCACTCATCTGGTGACTAACCCTGTAGGCTTCTCAGCTTACTTGTGCAGTAAAAGCTCCCTACGCGCTTGTGACTTGGCCCCTAAGAATGTGCACTGCGGCCTCACTCTAGGCGCCTGGGTGCCTATCTCCTCCCCGACGCCCACAGTGATTTATACACCAGGGGAAGGTAGGCATTTGGGTGCCAAAGGATATGTCTATTCTGCTGTTTAAGCTCAGGGTTAGTAGAAGTCGAGTTAAAAGACCTTGGGTTTGTTAACATAGGACTATAGCAGCTACACTCATTTGTAACCCTTGGTTAGGAATTGTTGAACCCTGGGTCCCAGCCTGGAGCTCCAGCATCTACACTGCATATGATGGCCTGAGTCCAACCATCCATTCCCAGATTTCCTAGTATCCTCCCCAAATGTGACTGCTCTAGCCCTCTCTTCGTGTGCAGTGGGGGAAAACTTGACTGTCCAGAGGACAAAGAAGGTCAGAAGGATTGCGAGATACTTTTGGCAGACTCCCGTAGCATGAGTCCACTGAGTCTCTGTCTACATTGCAAAGCAATAGGACTTGAACCTGGGTCCCGGCTTGACTCAAGCTCTGCCCCTCCATCTCTCACTCTCCAAACACAGAGATGGGAGCTCGGTGAAATGTGTTATTATTTGTACATGCAATAATAGTGATATTTAACTCTTATGTAATGTGTATGTAATTCACAAAGTAAAGTATCATGATCACCCTTTTACTTATGGTGAAATTGAGACCGAGAGAGGTAAAGTGACTTGCCAAAGGTCACACAGCAGGTCAGTGGTAGAGCTGAGACTAGAACCCACATCTCACCATGCTACTTCCCAAGCTTTCTCCAACTTCTCGGTTTGATTCCAGAGCACAGCAATTGTGGCAGAACTGGACATGAGGATTCTGAGGCAAAGAGGATGCATGGGATGTGGTCTTATACTTACCTATTCCTAGAATGCTCTTCCAACTTTATACTAAAGTATTTTATAGAAAAAATGGTATTGCAATATGATGCTAAACCTAGTGCCAGGGGGCTCTGAGTCATAAGAACAAACAGAAAATCTGTGTTTAGAATATATGGAGGGTTTTTTTCCTCTTCATTTTTTGAGAGAGACCATTTTATACTGGCATTGGATTCTGCATCATATTACAATACCCTTTCTTTGGAGTGCAGACAATTTTAAAGTCATAAAATATTTGTACATTTGATTATGGTCCCTATGATAAACTACAGTTACCTTATTCTTCAAGTATTTAATGTGTCAGTTCATCTTTTTTGCTTCAAATCCATTTTTGGGATCTAATCATATCTACATAGTATTCTTTGAGAACATTAGCACTTAAGAAGCAGGACCGAAACTTTATATATTGCCCTTCAAGTATAGTTCTGGGAATTGCATTAGCTACCTTATTAACTGTTGTACCATCTTGGTATCTTTTTCATTCCTACATTGATTAAGGCAAAATAATACCATTATAACTGTTCAGTCTCTTCATTCAGAGAGTGAAAATTGATCTGAACCCATTGTAAAGAAAGAACACAAATTAAGTCTTTTATTACAGAGAAGTTTAATGGTAGAGGTCAGAATATTTAAAGGCTCTAGTCACGTCAATTTATTAAGAGAGGACTAAAAGAGTACACATTGTACGTGTAGAGTGCACCTGCTGTATAGTGTGACCTGCAAAATAGTCACTCTGTTCATTTGCTGAAACAATTTATGGATTTTAAAAACCTAAACACTCTAAGATGGGCAGAGTTGATGTGTGCTTGACATGCTTGGCATTGTAATTAAGTGAAATTCTCTTCATATGTGTAGGGTACTGTGAATTCATCTTGAATGAACTGTCTATTCATTCGTGCAGTGCACAGAATAGACAGTTCTCGGGGAGTGAATCAGGGTTGTGTAGCAAATGCGGCTGTTGTCTATAGAAGCCCTGACACATTTGTTGCAGAAGTAGGTAGTTATGTAATGTATGTGGCAGGAGACTGCAGAAACAGAAAGGGTGGTCTTGTGGTTAAGACAGTTGAATGACATCCTTGTGAATTGAATTCTGCCCCTTCCTCTGCCACAGTATTCTTAATGCTGGGCAAATCACTTAAGCCAAACTTTTCACAGGTAACCACTCATCATAAGTTCCTCATTTCCTGGGTGCCTGACTTGAGACTGTGGGGTCAAAGCGGTAATGAAGTGAAGGAGAGCTGTGCTTTGAACATATAAAGTATCATATACATGCTAAGTACTCTGTAAAATCAGGAACTGGGTATGTTAAGTTGGGCAACCACAATTGGTAGACACTTTTGACCATTTTGAACTTGCTTTCTCTTGATTTAGTGCCCCATCTGTGAAATGGAGATGATGATAATACCGTCTGACAGGGGCGTTGTGAGGATAAATGGATTGTTTGTGATGAGTACTATAGAAAAGCCCCAGAGTAAATTAATAATTTTGTATTCAGAACAGGATTTAGATGGTGTGTAGTAAATAAGACCCAGGGCCACACACTGAACGATGAGGTAAAAAGAAATATTAACTAGTTACCCCTTCAGTTACCCCATTTTCCCAGAACACAGAAAAAGGCAGGCATCTTGTGAAAAAATAGTATGCGATTGTGTAGTTATGTCTCATAATTCATGAACACCAGGGGCCCAAATGAAGGTTGTACAGGCAAACTAGCAAATAATTCGGGGTGGGTGGGAGGGGAGGAGAGGAGAAGGTTTAATGACCAAGCCAGGGCAATCCTTTTTAAAATCTTGTCTGAAAGATGATACCTTTGAAAACACGGTGCCCCCTAATAACATGCAAGGACATTGGTTAAGTACTGACTGAAGAAGAGCACAACCTATTGAATAACCAAAATATGGAGCTCAATTCTTCCTCTGTTCAGCTCGGCACTCAGTTTGCCACGGGAATGAGGTGGGCATGAACCATCAGAGAACTGCTTATAGCTTCCTGCTTCTTCACCAGCTCAGCATGAGTATCTGTGAAAGCAGCCTGGGAGTTGCTCTAACGTATGCCACTCTAAGGTTAAGTGACTTGTAGCCGGTCATAAGGGAAGTAATGTTTGCCTCCATTGCCCATTTATAGCCTGAGTCCCTCTCTGGCACCATAAAGGGTCCAGCAGCATCTTGGGTGAACATTATAATTTATCTTTCATCACTGGATATGTATCTTGACTAAATAGAGAAAAAGTCTTAGCTTGAATAGTAAATATTTCAGTTCTTAGACTAAAAGTAGATTATGTATACACAGGGGTTTTGGTTAGCCTTTCATGGATTATCTTAAATTTTAATGCTGACTTCCTTTTTTAAAAATGTTTTTTCAAATATCTGTTTACGTTTCAGTGAAAGAAAAAGGTTTGTTTAGGAAAGGTGACTATTTCCAGTTTATGCAAAATTGCTAACCTTTTCATTTGAATTTGTTTACTCAGCAAGATCTCTTATTGCAGTTGTTGCCTTCCAGCATATGACATTTAATTAGATATAAATGACAGAATAAAAAGGCATATGCCAAGGTATCAATAAATGACTTATCACAGTACTGCTAGGATTAGGGGGTCTACAGCCTTTCCTTTATAAACTCTATAATGGACTTCAATGTAGGTTGTATAAAGATATATTAAAGATAAATGGGATGATTTTTGCACACACTTGTGTTTCACCCTAATCTGCTATACAGTTAAGAAATAATAAAAGACACACTGCCTGGATATTTTAGTCATGTAAATGCAAAATTAGAATAGTACACCAATGTACAGTGGTCTCATTAATATGATTTTGTTTTATCCCTAACATGCAACAAACAATAATATGTAATTAATATGTTATTTATAGTAGATGCCCCAGTGCAAACACATTCTGCCTTTTGAGTGAGTGTGAGAGTGGGGGTGTGTTGGATTCCCAAAGAACCTAAAGTTCATATTGTGAAAAAGCTAACCTGCAAATCTAATTTTTATTAATTTTTTCAATTAAAGTACAAAAAGCATAACCACATTTTAAAAAAACCTGCATTTTGAACTACCTAAATACAAAGGCTGAATTTAGCTTTGTTAGGATGAAAATGTGCATACCCTAAATTCTATTGACTAGGACTTGCTAGGTCTATACTGCAGATGGGAAGTGTGCCTCCCAGCTCTGGTAGACAGGCATGCGTTGGCTCTGCTTAAGCTTGAGCACCAAAAATAGCAGTGTGGGCTTTACAGCATAGGCTAGCCATTGGAATACGGACCCAGGGCATTAGTGTAGACCAGGCCTTAGAATGTGTC